GAGGGGGGCGTGGCGCCCGCCCTCCCTCCCCCGGGGCTGGAACGGTCGCGGCGCGCGGGGGCAGCGCGAGCGCCGCGGCGGAGGCAGGTGAGGGGCCCGGGCCGCGCCTCGGGGGACGGGCCGAGCTCCGCAGGGCTCCTGCTGCCCCGGGCGAGGCGGCGGCTCTTCCTCCGCCCAGGGAGCGCCATTCGGTCCAGCTACCGCCCCCTCGCTTGTCTTCCCCTCAGCCCTTGGGCTCCCCCGTCCTTCAGCGCCCCCGCCAAGTTCCTCTCCTCCCCCTCAGGGTCGCTGTCCCTGAGGTAAAACGCCCCCTCCCTGAGGTAAAACTGCCTCCCCCTCTTCTCTTCCCTTGCTCTAGAACCAAATCATGGTTCCCCTCGCTCCCTGAGGCCAAACAGTCGCTTTCCTCGGAACAAATAACCTCTCTTGGGGATGAGTCGCTGCCCCCACTTACACCCCAGCCTCCTGCGGCCGTATCATATCGCTCCTGCTCTCCATTAGTGTAGCACTGTTCTCTTTCTCTTTGTGATCCTTCTCTCCCTTTCCTCCTCGTTTCTCACATTTTTGCCTGTGGATGTGTCCCTTCCTGCCCCGCCTGCAGGATTTGCCCAATCCCACTGCTGCAAGGAGCGTTTTAAAGGATGCTGTGTGTGCTGTTGGCGGTGGGTTTTTGCGAGAGGGTGGTGCTGAGCAAGATGTGAATGCTTTGGTTGTTTTCTCTGTTATATTTCAGCTTTGTGTACTTGAATTTCTATGTTAAAAGGGCTTGACTGTAGTGTGGGAGACGCTGAGATTTAAAATCAGTGATTTCATACCTAACTACATATATAACAAGCACTGCATTTAGCTAAGAGTTATGCTTTATTACTTTGCTATAATGAGTAAAATGACACCACTGCTTCATTCTCAACCTGTCCTATTGCTGTCCCAGTGTGTAACATCTGTATGAATGGCTTCCATAGAGCCACCAGTGAGCCTTTGGTATTTGACTGATGGAGGAGAAGCCTTAAATTTCCCCAGTGGAAAGAGCTGTAAATTATATTCACATCAGAGGCAGCAAATTCACTTTCTGAGGTACTCTGATGAGTGGATCAAGTTAAACCAAAGCTCTGGATAGATAATAATTGCCATTTATGGTACAGCAATGCTCTTTTGAATTGCTGCACTTGTGGCTGTAGTTGCCTAGTGACCTCTACAGAGGGCAGAAATGAACTACTTTTAACGTTAAGACTTATAAAGAGAAATTTTTTTTGCCTCTCTAGACATAGAGGCAGCATGTAGATACCATGGCGACTGATGCTCTATAAATAACTATAATGGATATAACGCATGCCCCAGTTGACAGGCTCTGCTGAACAGCTGCGTACCTGAAGAATGTTGCAAATGGGAGCTCTTCTCATTTCTCAGGCATGAAGAAAACCTACAACTGAGCCTTTTAAAAGTATTGATTTAGTACTTAAATACTTAATAATTAAGTATGGGAGGGGTGAAACAGAGGTAGCTGCTGGAAAAGATGAAAAATGCTATATTAAGATGAATTCCTTGAATGAGATCTTGCTGATCCTTGTCTACTAGGTTAATGGCAACAGGGCCTATTAAAATATTTTTTTTTTTCCTTTTATTTACTGTTCTCTAGCTGACTGGAATAGATAAGATGGCTGCTCTCGAGAAGCATCCAGACCTCAGGCTCCAGCAGATCAATCCATCAGGTAAGCACAGTCTTTAAAGCAATTTTAAGTCTTGTTCCTGCAAAATAATATAATTGCATGAGTGTCCAGAGGCGCTTGCTAGTAGTTCTGTCTCTTGAATGATAGCCGATGATTTGGAAAGAGTCTTTAATGGTTGATAAAAAAAACATATCTCTGCCATATCTGCTAACATTGATGCTCCTTTTTTTTTTTTTTTTTTTTAAGTACCAGAGCATCAGCTTTGTTTAATATAACCCAGGTTGTCAGTAACAGCAGAGTTGACTGCTCTTGACTCCTGACTTCCAATCTCCTGCTATTATTTGGCTTCCCTATGTTTGCTGCCATTTCCTTATGGAAAAGGAAAGAGATTTCCTGAGCAACAGTATGGGGAATCTACCAAGAATCAGTTTGTTTCTAGATAGAGAGGATGATTATTTATGGCTTAATTAGGTACACTGGAAGCAGGAAGCAGCTTTATTCTTGGTGGCTAAAACATGAATATCATGGACTTTTTCTCCCTAGACCCTTTGACCAGTCAGAAGAGTAATTTCTTGGAGACTGACTGGAAAACACCCATGTTGTCTGCGAAGTTCCAGAGTCGCATCAGTCGCTGCTCCAGCGTGGCTGACAGCGGGGACGCGGGCATTGGGACCTCCCGCTCAGACAGCACTGAAGGTGAATTCTGAACACGTTATCTCTTGAACCTGCTGAAGGATTTAAACTATTGATTAGCCCAGTATTCTTTCTACCTGTATTTTCATCTTCATTTGTGAAGGTGACATAGAACATTAGCGCTGCTCCCTTCAGCAGCAGGGGAGCTTGTGTGTTCCTTAATACAATACATTTCACACCTTAATGGATTTCACAGGCTGTCCTGTGTGCCTTGAACGAGCTGTAGTTCTTAATAACGTGGGAATTGAAATGGAGGCTTTCAAAAAAACCTAGCTTTTGGAAACATTATTAGAGTGCTTGTTTAAGTGTCACAGCCAGCCACTTTTAGGATAATAAAACATCCAGTTGTGTGTTGAGAGCTGGGGGGTGGTGACTGTTCTTTGAGAAATTGCCCTTCTAATGTTTGTGTTGTAGTTTTGTTCCTAAGAGCTTAGGCTGAACTGCAGCCATGGCAGCTGGCTGAACCACACTGACTTTTTAGTCAGTACATTAGTTATAAATGTCGTTGCAATAACCCTAGCCACGTTCAGGGAGCTGATTCCGGCATCCGCGTGCGACTTGCTGGTCAGGGATCAGGAAAGCCAAGTCCTTCCTGGTGGTATTAGGACTACAAGTTTAAGGAGCTAAAAAGAAAATTGTACCTGTCTCCTGTGTTTGCTATAGCAAGTGTTTTGTGAGTGCTTGGCAGCAGGGGTTCTTAGGTAGAGCCAAGAAATGTCTGAGAAGATTTTCTGCCTCTCCTGTTAATTTTTGAGACGGAGTCTGTGTCTTTATTCTGACAGCTTTCCAGTCGTTTGATGATCATTGCATAATCTTGTTTGTTGGATTCAAAATATAACCTTTTATTCCTCCTTATAGCAATGCTTTGAGGTTACTAACTCACGGAAATTTGACCCTGCTGTCCTGTTGTTGAATTAGAGAAACATCATGTGAGGATGGGCCTGCAGCCAAAGGCATGAAGAAAACAAGTTTTGGTATCTGGGAGAAACCTGAATTTAATGTGTTGTGCGTGTCAGGAGGAGGAGAAGGAACAGGCATTTCGGTGTTTGCCTTTCGCAGCTCTTGCTGTTGCTGTATTGAAATCTGAGCCTTGCTAAGAATAGCCCTGTATTCCCATGTCACCAGACTTGGTGTGTGCCAGGCAGGACAGGCTCACGTTGGGGTGTGTGTGCTCTGCTCTATCCCGCTTCCTGTGGCAGGGAGGCAAGAGCCATTACTGCAGCCTCTAGAAAAAGCTCTTTTGCTGCAGCGTCCTGGAGGAGTTCGAAGGTCACTCGCTTGGTGATGTAGCGTCCAGCTATGTTTGAAGCTCATCATGGGCTTAGTGAAGGCTCCAGTTAGCTTTGGTTGCAGTTCAGAGCCTCTGAGCTGCGGGACGGGCAGAACAGAATCAAGGACTCAGTGTTCAGTTGAGTAAGTCTTTTTATTCAATTCAAAGGCTGTGATTTTTAAACAAGCAGAAAGATAACCTTATAGATTGAAGATTATATTATAGAAGAGTAGCGTAAAAAACAAGGGTTAGAAATGTGTCCTGAGCTGTAACTTGCATTCTCTGTGTGATTTACTCTGGTAAGAAAGTGTCACCAGGCTCCTGAACTTTGTAGTGAGGGAAAACACAGCTATACCTTATTCTTGTTGCTCTACATCAGCTACTGCTGCTTATGAGGAGATGTTTTGGGGAAAAGAATTGCTTTTTAAAAATTCTGTAGCGAGCTATTCAGCAGAGAAGTGGTGGTTTAGGTCAGAATACTTTCAGGATCGTAATGAAAGCATCATGCTTCTTGTTTCCCTAGACTTTTGCAACTCCAGTAACGGTTCCTCATTCCAGCCCATCAAAACCCAGGTGACCATCCCAACAGCTCATGTTATGCCTTCTACACTGAGTGCTTCACCCTCCAAGCTCCGCTCAGCAGGTGAACAGAGCAGTTCACAGAGTACCTCAAAACCTGCTGTGCCAGGATCAGCTTCGGGACTCATGAGAAATGGGGACTTCAGTGCTGGGAAGTCATCTCAGGTGCCACCCGGAGATCTTTTGCGTCTGTGCGGGGCTTCAGGGGAAAATGGTTTGGAGCAGTCCTGGCACCCCGCTTCCAAGCATCCTCTCTTGGCCTGTGATCAGAAGTTCGACACCCCTGCCATTGAGCAAACCTTTAATCAGTCTCTCTTTCTGGATAGTTTGTGCACTGACCCTCTGCACAGGTTCCAGAAGTTTAATCTGAACGCTGGGACAACTGAGGCAGGGAAGGATCAGTACAAAGTGCTGCCAGAGAGCAAGCAAGCAGCGGGGGCTAACGGGGTCTGCGAGGCCCACGGCGGAGCGTGGCCAAACGGGAACAGGCTGATGCCAGCAGCACTCCAGGCCAACGGTGTCTTTTCAAAACCCACAACTCCCCCATCTCGAGCATGGATGCAAGAAACCTGCACGCTGCACCCGCACGAGAGGGTCTGTGAACTCAGCGCTTGGAAACAACAGTTGGACAACGTGCGACTGCAAATAGAGCAAATGCAGGTAGGAAGCTGCTTGTGTGAGTGGTTCAGTCTGAAACTGCTCCTCTCTCGTTGTGAATCATTGAGGGCTTGTGAAGCAAGGGGGAAATGTCTCATGCTTCTCCCTGTCTTGTGCTGAAAGTCTCTTAATGAGCTGTTTTTACAGCAGGCCACGTCATGGGTATCATGTGTCACAGCACTCATGTAGCTCAAGCCTGGATAGTGTTACAGCCCTGCATGGTAACTCAGGCCGAGAGGTGAAATATCCTGTCCACCCAAAGCTGCAAAGGAAACGTATGGCAAGAAGTTGTTAACTATTTAGCTCATAGGATAGTTTTATTCTGTATGTAGAGATAGACTTTTTGGAAAAAAACATAAAATTATCCACAATTTATTAGATGGAAGCAGTTTGTTTATCACCTCCCACCAGCTGTATGCTAATGGAGACAAATTGTTTCCAGTGAGACAGCGCAGTGATCTAAAATTATTTGTTAATCTCCAGTTGTGCTTGGGCAAAGTTACTTGGTCTTGGACATCAGCACAGACTGAAATAGCCATGTCCTGGCATGCAGATGAGCACACAGCGTGCAAAATAGCTCTAGCAATGTTGCAGTTACCTCTGCATAAACCTCTCCCTCCTTATTTTCTCTGCTCTTGCAGTTACAAAATGGAGCAGCCTGCCACCATCCCTCAGTGTATCCTGCTCCGGTGCCTTCAGCTGATCCAACCCAGTGGATCAATATCCTGAACTCCAATGAAAACCTCCTGAAGGAGAAGGAGCTCCTCATTGACAGGTGAGAGATTGACATTGAAGTGTGGGTGAAGAACTCCAGGATATTTTGTTTTGGAGGAGGCAGGATTATGAAAATAATGAAGGAAAGCTCTTGTCTCAGAGACCCTTTTACCCTTTGGAGGCTGGTTTTTATTTTTATTTATTTATTTATTTATTGCCATAAAGAAGAACCTAGAAGTTCTAGATAGCTTAGAGTACTTTTTTTTTTTTCCTCCCCCCACAAATCTTTTTCCCATCCTCTCAGAAGTAGAATTCTGAAAGATTCAAACAAATGTTGGTTATGTCTTTCCCTGTTTTATAATGGATCAAAACTTCCATTTCCATCACAAATATCTGGAATCTTGAAACTGCTGCCTGTTTGCTTGAGAACTTTTGGTGAGCTCTTGGAGGCCTTTATAATAAATCTGTTTTTTTGTGAATTTGGGCTGGCAAACAACACTTCTCATATGTTAATATTAGTGGTCCATAAGCTGTTATAAAAGGCTGCTTTAAGCATGATCACTGTTGGGGGAGAAGCATTTTTTGAAGGATGGGAGGGAAAGAAGGTTTATGCAGAGCTGTGAAAGTACGAAAACAGAGATTGGCTGAATTATTTATCTGCAGGCCAGTTGTCCTTCTTTTGTGCTTGTCACCTTCCCTCGTCTAGTATTAACTAAAGAGTCGTGGTGGGGCTGTTCTTGTGTGCTCCCTATCAGCATTGAAAACAAGGTGTGCATTTGAGAACAGTGTTATCTACATGTGTTTTCTACAGGCAAAGACAGCACATTTCCCAGCTGGAGCAGAAAGTTCGGGAAAGTGAACTGCAGGTTCACAGCGCCCTCCTTGGCTGCCCGGCGCCCCCAGCACCCTATGGAGATGTCTATATGTTGAGATTGCAGGTAATCGGGTGCAATGGGACATCATATATTGAACCCAATGGCCCTAACATATCTCACGAGGAATTTCCTGACTAGGAGGGTTGTGCAGGATATGATAATTCTTTGAGGGACAGAATTCACAGACTCTCTCTCCCCGTAGGAGCTGCAACGTGAGAACACCTTTCTCCGAGCACAGTTCACAGAGAAGACGGAATCTCTTGGTAAAGAAAAGATTGAATTGGAGAGAAAACTGGCTGCTGCAGAGGTGGATGCAAAGCTGATCCGGGAGACACTGAAAGAAACCATGCAGAAACATGTGGAGGAATTAAAGAAACAAGAAGAAAGGGTAGGATCCCATTGCTCTGGAGATATCTTCCCTCCTCCTATTTCCCTATCTATAAGGAAAATCCCTCCCTCCTGCAATTAGAAGTAGTTTAATACCTCTTCCTTTAACTAGAGATGAAGCTTATGTTAGGCTAAGTGAGTAGAAATGCTGCCGAGGCAAAATGATCTTGTATCTTGGTGCTGAGCACTGTACCAATAAAGGAATGGGCCTATACAAACAGCACCACTGGACTGAAGAATGGACAACTATTATAATAAAGAAGTTCTATAAAACTGTATTTGCAGGTAAAGGGAAGAGACAAGCACATTAATAACCTGAAAAAGAAATGCCAGAAGGAATCTGAGCAAAGCAAGGAGAGACAACAGAGAATTGAGACCCTTGAGCGATACCTGGCTGATCTCCCAACTCTCGAGGACCACCAGAAACAGAGTCAGAAGGTAAAAACCTTTTTCCCAGGTGTGATAATAACACTTTAGATATTTACAGCTGTGGAAGAATGACCTGAGCAAATAATCTCAAGCAAGTGAAGTTTCAGTGCCTGTGTCCTTTTGGAAGGAGGAATGTTCTGAGCTAGAGTTAAGAACTATCACATGGATAGTGAAAACTGCCTTGTGAGTGTAATTGAATTGTGTGTGTGATGAAACACCTGGGAGGTCTTTAAAGTATCGTGATAATGTTTGTTGCAGCTGAAGGAATCCGAACTGAAGAACACTGCTCTGCAGGAAACGGTGCTGGCGCTGGAAACACAGCTCGGAGATACCCGCGCTGCCTTCAGGGAGCAAGAAATGCATCTAGAAACACAAAAACGCAAAGAACTGGAGCTTCTTTCCTCGGTGCGCAGGTAAAAGTCTGGGGGATGGGAGTGAGCTCCGTCCTGGCACTGAAGGAGTCGCAGCACTAGAACAGGGATCTTTGAGCACTGCTGCTGTCCCGCTTGTCAGAACTGGGTTACCTGGGATTTGCTGTGATTTCGTGAGCTCCCACCCAAGCCCTGTGTTCAAATTCTGCATGCGAAGAAGGGGAGGAGCAGATGCAGGTGGCTGAGAGGAAGGGGGTATTTGTCATCCGGGTTTGTCTGTGTCCTCTGGTTATTGCTTTCAACTGTAGCTCCTTGCACAACAGAACTGTGCAACCCACAGTTACTGCCAACTGTGCCAGTATGATGGTTTGTCACTTTTCCCTGTAGTTTAATGAGGGAAAACACCCTGCTTTTCTCACGATATTCTGCCAACTTCAGCTTGCAGGACAAGGTGCAGCAGTCTGTAAAGAATGCAGAGAGAGGCCCCCCTGCCCATGATGGAGAGAAACACAAAGCAGAAAATGATTCTCTGAAGAAAGAATGCGAGTGCCTCAGGAAGGTAACTTTTTTCTTCCACTGGGTCACAGCAGGCACTAAAAAGCAATCAAGGACTTTGGCATTAGCAAGTGGTCACAGCTGCACTGAAAGAGCTGTCTCTGGCACTGCAAACCGAGGGATTTTAAGAGCTGCTCTTCTCTTCTTGGTGAGACTATGCAAGCTGTCTCTGGCACTGCAAACCGAGGGGTTTTAAGAGCTCTTCTTCTCTTGGTGTGGTGACCATGCAGTCCTAGAGTAGTCCCTGAACACTTCATTGGAGTAGAGCTGCTAAATGCAGAAAAAGGGAGGAAAACCACAAGAATGTAACTTACCTTTTCATAGCTGATATTTCTAATAGTTCTTTTGATCAGATGCATTTTGTTAGGACATCCACATTCTCTGCTAACAAATAGTAAGTTAAACAGTAAATGAACAGCAGAGAGAGAGGAAAGGGGAAACTGTCCCACTGAAGGAGAAATCCTGTTAATATCATGGAAAGAGTCTGTGTGGCCTGTTCTTAATGGCCTCTATTTTTGGTTCCAGATTGCAGACAAACAGCAGAAGAAGATGGAGCAATTGTCCTTGCAAGTAAAGGTGAGAGGCTGTTGTGGGGAGATCTAGAACTTAATAATGAATTAGACTTATTAATTTCCCATGGTCTCTTCCAGAATCTGGAAGAACAAGTGGCTCAGGAAGAGGGGACAAGCCAAGCTCTGAAAGAGGAGGCGATGAGGAGAGAAAACGCCCTGCAGCAGCTCCGCACTGCTGTGAAAGAGGTCAGAGCATGGGGACACTTTGAGTGCCAGAGCACAGCAGTTGAACAAATAATAAATTGTCCTTGTCTTAATTTGCAGTCAGCAGCTCAGCCTCCCCTATCCGTCAGGTGCCCTGTCAGTGTTCAGAAAGGAGCTCTCCTCTGCTCAGAAACAGGAGCAAAGGGCCTTCTTGACGCTCTTTCTGCTCCAACCTTCAGCTGGGGCTGCCTGTTGTGGTGCTGAGCACTGAGCTGGCCAGGGGAGGGCGGCAACACATTGAGCAGGTGCCTGAACGGGGCTACAGGATGGCACTTGGCCCCGGTCTGAAGCCTAAAGGCAGCTGAGCTCCACGACAGCCCCGCGGGTGGGATGGCCTGTGTCAGGGCGAGAGGTTGGGGTGCAACCTGGAAGCTTTTCTGTTGCATTGGCCCTTGTCGTGAGTACTTGGTGTGTGAGCAGGGAAACCTGGCTGCTCGCATCCCGTAGGATTGATCCTTGTTCATCCATCAGGAGTCTGGAGAGCCGGGCACAAACCTGCTCCTCCTGGCCTGGGCGCTCCCGTCCTCATCGAGTCTTTGCTTTAAGCCTGCCAGTTTTGTACTGTGTGACCACTAATCTGCTGTGACCCCTTGTCCAGCTTTCCGTGCAGAACCAGGATCTCATCGAGAAGAACCTGACCCTTCAGGAGCGTCTGCGGCAGGCGGAGCTGACGCCGCCGCTCGCCGGGCAGGCGGCCCAGCTCGCCCAGGAGCTGCACGCAGAGCTGGCCACTTGTCTGCAGGATTTGCAGTCTGTCTTCAGCATAGTGACTCAGAGGGCTCAGGGCAAGGATCCCAACCTTTCCCTGCTCCTGGGCATTCGCTGTAAGTGTGCAGAGTGCTGGCCTAGCAAATGTGCTGAGGTAGAATTAAGTAACACCTGTGTTATATAGATACAACGTCCTCATCTTTCTGGGATCCTGAACCTTCTTTTGTGGTTAGCAAGCTCTAAAAATTGATGCTTCCTTGCTGTAATAACTCAGTGTTAAGTGGTGCCTCTGTTGCAAATGTGTCTTGATGGTTTTTCTGGCTCATTTACAAATGTGTGGGACCCTTGCTCAGAATTGCATGTCTGAGGTAACTCAATTCTCTGCCCCCACAGCTGTGCAGTACTCGGCTAAGGAGAAGGACGACTTGCTGAGCCCTGATATACTGGCAAAAAAACTGTTGGAGGTAAAACAGCTTCACAAAGAGGTGGAGGACTTAAGGACGGCAATATCTGACAGATATGCCCAGGACATGGGGGACAACTGCATCACCCAGTAAAGGACGAGCTCTCCCCAAAGTAAGGCAGGAAATGAAGACTTGAAACCCTGGGGAGACCAGAGCTCCTACAAATGACACTGATTTGGCACTTTACCATCTCATTTCTTGGGTATAAGACGTGTGGTTTCCCCATGAGAAGTCGGGGGTTGTTGCCAGAAGTGCTGAGCTGCTGCCTGGCTAACTGGAATCGTTCGGGGCTTTGGTGCTGGGCTTTGCAGCTGCTCTGGTGGAGTGGAATGTGTTTGTGCTGTGTTTGCTGGAGCTGTTACGGTCTCGGACGCTGGGAGGTGATTTCTGCACTGCCTTCCAGGCTTGTCATACTCTAGACATGCAAATGTGACAGTTTTAACCAATGCGAGAAGGGAAATACGCCCTGGTCTTTCTGATAAACTCCCTGTGTAGATCCTGTGTGACTAACAAGGCCGGACTCTTATCAGGGGATATTTGTGGATTTAACACTACTGCTAACTTTATCAAGGTGCTACAGGTTTTATCCGTGCGTGTGTGCACAGGGCTGGCTTGGGCACTTGTGCAGCCGTTTGTGGAACAGGACCTTTGCTCAGGTAAATGCAACCGGAGTCTTTCAGTAGCCAACAGAATTAGGGGAATAAAGTGACACTAAAAGACTCTGTAAATGCTCCTCCTGAGCACTGCTACCCTAGAAGCCTTAAACCCTTCATCTCCCTGAGAAAACGCTCTGAATCCGGGTGGGATTCCGGCTGCGGAGGGAGTGGATGTATCTGCAGTGCCTTAACGTGCTAGAGCACCCGCGGCCGCGCAGGCTGCCCCATGCGGCCGCC